TTCATACTCATTCATATATGAATAAACAAGATCCAACTTAACAGCAAAAGCAAACAAAATGGCCTGCCTGGCAAGCTTGAGGTCCTGAGTTTGACTGCCCGTAAAAAAAAAAAAAAAGAAAAGAAAAAGAAAGAAAGAAAGAAAAATCAGATAAAATGACAAGGGATTTTAAACCTTCAATTTCAACTCCAACCTGGTGTGGTAGCACACCTATAATACCTGTCCTCAGGAAGCTAGGGCACAAGGATCCCAGAGTTTGAGGCCAGGCTGGGCTACAAAGTAAGTTCAAGGTCAGTCTGAATTACACAGCAAGACTCTATCTCAAACCCCACCCCCAACAAACAAAATCAAATCCAATCTTGCACTTGGAGGCAATGAGATTTAGCTAATATTGGGGTTGCTATGTGCTATAATAAAGCTTTACTTTTCTTACAAACACAAGGAAAAAAATGGGTACAAGAAAAATCTCAATAGGAGTTACCAATAGTTTCTTACTGACCAAAAGTTGAGAGCCACTGGGGCTAGCAATCATACTCCAAACAGGTCCTCCAAAGGCATCCATAGCATATTTGACATTTAATGCCTGTAAGTCATACTCAAGAATTTCTCCATTGAGCCCAGCACTAAAGAGTCGCTGTCCTTCTGCCCAACACAGAGCTTCTGTAGCGCGGGATTCATGACCTGGGAAAAACTACAGAAATAACAAAAGTTTTCAATCTTCCATGAATTTGCTCTCTCACAAGATCACACTGTCATTTTCACTTTCTTTTGGTTCAAATTTTAGTTACTGAAAATTACTTTAGTTTATTTGCACAGTTAGATCTGGCTTGCATGTGTTTGTCTTTTTGACAGAGTCTTCCTGCGCAGTTCAGGCTGGCCTTGAGCTCACTTTGTAGCCAGGCTGGTCTGATATTTGAGACAATCCTCCTACCTCAGGCCTTCCTGCACTGGGATTACAGATGCATGCCACTACACCCAGCCATTTTTTTTTCTGTTTAGTTTTTTACAATAGGGCAAATTTAGTACATACTCTTCAGCAGAATGAAGTATATTCAAGTTTGGTTTGACATATCCAACTGTATTAGATAATCTAGTTTTCTAAAGATTAATACAACGAGGGCACAGGGACCAGGTTCCATGTGGGCTACCACATGCCCTGCCAGCCCTGCCCCCAAGCACTCTGTGCCAGCCAAGAAGGCTGGCGTGGTGGCACACAACTACAATCCCAGCACTGGGAAGGCTGAAAACCAGAGGATCACTATGAGTCCAAACTGCAGAGTGAGACCCTGTGTAAAGCGTTAACAGAGTTTTGTGTCTTAACTATAAAAAATTATTATTATTTGGTGGAACCAAGGGCCTTGAGTGCTTGCCAGGCAAGCGCTTATTCTACTGAGCTATTTCCCCCATCCCAAAAAATTATTTTTTATTACTTTTTTAATATTTTATTTCACGGGGCTGGTGAGATGGCTCAGTGGTCTAAAGCACCTACTTAGAACAAGCTTAGCAAAGCACAGGGACCACGGTTCAATCCCCCAGC